AGACCCTTAACACCGTGATGCTTTGATCCCGACTTGGCGTTTTGAGGAGCTTTGTCGAGCAAAGGCGACGAGGGAAAACCATGTTCACCGAGCGGGTCCGCAGTCCTCCAGATGACCAGGGAACCAGGTACATGGGGGAAGGCGGCTCTGCGTCCTTGAGCTTCACAACGGTAATGAACCAACTTGTTGCCCCCAAACATGCCGAGGTCCAGCATGCGGGGGCAAACAGTAGGGATGGTGTAGTCGTGGCGGCCTGTAGCCTCCTGCCGCCAAGCGCATGGCCTTCTCACGCAAGGTGGCTTCCTCAGCGTTCTCGGCCACGAACTCACCCACGTCCTGACGTAGCTGTTCCACATCCAACTCGGCGAATTTCCATTCACTGGGCTGTGGTGTGCGTGAGCCCTGCTCCTGCGAGGGTGGCTGGGACGTCTCGCGTTTTGTCTTCTTCTCGGGAGGCTCCTCGAGAAGCTCCGCAGCCCGAGACTTGAGCGCCTCGACCAGCTTCGGCGCCAGCTTGCTGGCATCCGCAACCCCCTCCATGGAACCCAGGCAGGCCAGCAGCTTCTCCTCGCAGATGTGGAACTCGGGCCCCGTGAGATCAACGGCTATCGGCCGCGGGGCAGGCTGCGAGGACAGAACCCTGACTTCCTCCTCCAGATCCTCCACAGCCGTCTTGCGCTCCTCGACGACGTTCGCCGCCGAAGTGGCTGCCAGCTGTGCTGCTGCCAGGGCCTTGTCTGCTGCGATATTGTTTTGCGCCCATATCCTAAGATGGGGTTCTTGTTATTACTTGGACGCCTCCTACTCCCTCTCCCTCCTCCTCTTTCCTCCTCCCCTCCTGTCGGAGTTACTCATACTCAGACTTGCTCATACCCAGACTTGCTCATACACACACTTACTCATACTCAGACACTCTCATACTCAGATCTACTCATACTCAGACCTACTCTTACTCAGACATACGCATACTCAGACTTACTCATAATCAGACATATTCATACTCAGGCATATTCATACTCAGACCTACTCATACTCAGACTTACTCATACTCAGACTTACTCAAACTCAGACATTCTCATACCCAGACGTACTCATACTCAGACTTACTCACACTCAGACATATCCATACTCAGACTTACTCATACTCAGGCGCTGGTTTCAGCACCCCTAACGGGAGCCGCCAGGGGTGGTTGCACGGGCTCGTTCGCGGCCATCTTGTGGGGATGTCTCAGGCGGTTTGCTTGTTTCTGGGCCCAGCATCCTTCGCTTGGAGAGCAGATTGTGAGGATGTCTCAGGGGGGGCGCTGGTTTCAGCACCCCTAAGGGGAGCCGCCAGGGGTGGTTGCACGGGCTCGCTCGCTGCCATTTCATGGGGATATCTCAGGCGCTTTGCTTGTTTCTGGGCCCAACATCCTTCGCTCGGAGAGCAGATTGTGAGGATGTCTCAGGCGGGGCGCTGGTTTCAGCACCCCTAACGGGAGCCGCCAGGGGTAGTTGCACGGGCTCGTTCGCGGCCATTTTGTGGGGATATCTCAGGCGGTTTGCTTGTTTCTGGGCAGATTGTGAGGATGTCTCATGCGGGGCGCTGGTTTCAGCACCCCTAAGGGGAGCCGCCAGGGGTGGTTGCACGGGCTCGTTCGCGGCCATTTTGCGGGGATGTCTCAAGCGGTTTGCTTGTTTCTGGGCCCAACATCCTTCGCTTGGAGAGCAGATTGTGAGGATGTCTCAGGCGGGGCGCTGGTTTCAGCACCCCTAAGGGGAGCCGCCAAGGGTGGTTGCACGGGCTCGTTCGCTGCCATTTTGTGGGGATGTCTCAGGCGGTTTGCTTGTTTCTGGGCCCAACACCCTTCGCTTGGAGAGCAGATTGTGAGGATGTCTCAGGCGGGGCGCCGGTTTCAGCACCCCTAAGGGGAGCCGCCAGGGGTGGTTGCACGGGCTCGTTCGCGGCCATTTTGTGGGGATGTCTCAGGCGGTTTGTTTGTTTCTGGGCCCAACATCCTTCGCTTGGAGAGCAGATTGTGAGGATGTCTCAGGCGGGGCGCTGGTTTCAGCACCCCTAAGGGGAGCCGCCAGGGGTGGTTGCACGGGCTCGTTCGCGGCCATTTTGTGGGGATGTCTCAGGCGGTTTGCTTGTTTCTGGGCTCAACATCCTTCGCTTGGAGAGCAGATTGTGAGGATGTCTCAGGCGGGGCGCTGGTTTCAGCACCCCTAAGGGGAGCCGCCAGGGGTGGTTGCACGGGCTCGTTCGCGGCCATTTTGTGGGGATGTCTCAGGCGGTTTGCTTGTTTCTGGGCCCAACATCCTTCGCTTGGAGAGCAAATTGTGAGGATGTCTCAGGCGGGGCGCTGGTTTCAGCACCCCTAAGGGGAGCCGCCAGGGGTGTTTGCACGGGCTCGTTCGCGGCCATTTTGTGGGGATGTCTCAGGCGGTTTGTTTGTTTCTGGGCCCAACATCCTTCGCTTGGAGCAGATTGTGAGGATGTCTCAGGCGGGGCGCTGGTTTCAGCACCCCTAAGGGGAGCCGCCAGGGGTGGTTGCACGGGCTCGTTCGCGGCCATTTTGTGGGGATGTCTCCGGCGGTTTGCCTGTTTCCGGGCTCAACATCCTTCGCTTGGAGAGCAGATTGTGAGGATGTCTCAGGCGGGGCGCTGGTTTCAGCACCCCTAAGGGGAGCCGCCAGGGGTGGTTGCACGGGCTCGTTCGCGGCCATTTTGTGGGGATGTCTCAGGCGGTTTGCTTGTTTCTCGTGGCACTATCCTCCAACATGACATGCACTTATGGCCTTGTGTGGCTAAACGCTCGTCTTACATATCCCACTGCCAACTATCCTACAACATATGCACATGTGGGAAGCTCCAAAGCTACCACGGGCTGAAAAGGGGAAGGCCTGGCAGCTGAGGAGGGGGGATGAAGAGGAAGAGGCTCGCATTCAACCATACTCAAAGCTCACTCTGACTCATACGCAATCACTCGCATTAGGGGTCACTCGTCTTCGTCGGCCCTGTCGCCCACGTGGACGCGCTATTGTAGTCGACCGCTCATGAACAGACGCTCACCACGGCATGACATAAAACATGAAATGCACATATGGGGAGCTCCACGCAGTGAGTAATGTTGCTCGGCCTTCTGCAAACGCTGACGGGTTTGCTCAGGTCGTCTCGACAGCGCCGTAAGCTTCGCTGGTAAGGGCAGAGTGACATATAACTTACGACGTGCTGCCTCCAGCTGCTCTCGTGCCACCAGGAGCGGTTGAGCAGCCCAGGGCAGGTTGACGGATTCAAGCCAATGCACATGTTTGACCAGACCATCGATTTCTTCCCGTAACTCATCAGCGGGAGGAGGAGGGGGAGGACGGAGGAGGAGGAGGAGGAGGAGGAGGAGGAGGAGGAGGGGGAGGAGGACGGAGGAGGAGGAGGAGGAGGAGGAGGAGGAGGAGGAGGAGGGAGGAGGAGGAAGAGGAAAAGGAGGAGGAGGAGGAGGAGGAGGAAGGAGGAAGAAAAGGAGGAGGAAAAGGAAGAGGAGGCAGACCGCCGCCAGGCCGGGGCGGGCCCGCCACCCTCCCCACCAGCAGGCCTGGCGAAGCGGCTCCCCCTCCGGCAAGACGGCGCCGGGACGGGGGCGAGCTTCGGGCGAGGACGAGGCCAGGACGAGGACGACGCCAGGACGAGGTCGGCGCCAGGACGAGGACAATTCAGGCGGAAATCTCGAAATCCGGCGGATCTGGCGGATGCGTCGGGCGCCGCGGCCTGCTCAGAGCCTTCCGGAACGCTCTGAGAGCGTTCCGGAACGCTCAGGGACGTGTTTCTCCTCGTCTTAGCCCCGTCCAACGCCTTCCCCCTCCTCATCCGAAGCCTTTCCCCATCCCCCCGCGCCCCCAAACACACACACACACACACACACACACGAACACACACACACACACACAAACAAACACAAACACAAGCACTTCTGAGTGTCCCGGGCAGGCACAGCCACAGGTCGTGTGAGAGTAACTACTGGCATCCATGGCATATCCAAGAAATCTGCGCGGAGCTCCGAATGTTTCCGTTTACGCGGTTCTTTCTGCCTCAAGAGCTCTAGAGTTAAGTCGGGCATGTCCCTCTACAGGGGGAAGATCCAAAAATAATCCAACAATAATCCGGGGACGATGTTCTATGATGTCTCTACTGTGCTTGAAAATGTTTCGACTATGTGTTATTTGTCGCCCAAAATCCGCCTGTAGGGGGATAGGGCAGCGCAACCACCCCCTGAATGAACACCCCGACGAGCAAAGCCTTTTTTTGGAAGCCCGAAATGGGCACGGAAAAATGGGTAGAATGCCCAACAACAAATGTTGTCCCAAACCAACAGCGGCCGCTGTTGGGCAGGCGGCCTTCTGTGTCTCAAATGGACACAGGCCGCGGCGGCGCGGACAGCGAGTCTTGTTCAAAATGATCCGGGACTGCTGTTGGGCATTGTACCCGTTCTTTCCGTACCCAGTCCGTTCGTGCCGATTTTTTGCTCTCTCGCAAGAGCACCTCACAGGACGGAATCGAGCAGGGCAGGGCTGCTCGTCAACGCCCAGGGCTGTTCCGCAAACGCAGAGCATGGGGGTCGGGGTGGTTCCTCCCTTGACCTGACTACCTGCCAGACCACCCCAAGCTTCGGGTAGGGGGGGACTTTTGTTCGCAACCGCAACCGCAAGCGGACAGCCGCGCGGCGTCGTGGAGTCGCACGAAAATCAAGCCTACAGTGAGCAGGACAGATGCCCGCACTACAGCAGGCGAGCGCGGAAAAAGGAGACTAGGATAGGGGGGATACGGGTTCCACATGTGTCTTTGTCGATGCTCACCGATCCCCCCCCCACTGGAAATCGAGGATAAATTTGGGTCTTCGGGTTGGGTTGGGGTGGCTTGGTGCGTGGGGATGGGCCTCCGACCGAGGACTCTTCGATCGATCCACCTCCGCCGGCCGGACCGACGGCACGCAGCCCGCTGGAGCGGGCTCTTATAGGCACCGCGC